TTGAACAGCCCTCCTTCTGAATTTGTTTCCATTCGAAAGTCCCATCCAAAGTCGGATCAAAATTATCCTTTTCCTGCTCTCGGGAGAGTTCCAAAAACACCTGAAATGGCAAGATAAAACCCTGATTATTTCTCTGACTTTCACTAGACACTGTGATGCTCCTTCACAGGAGGTACAGCTCTGCAACCCCTACGAGAGGTATGTGAAGTAGCTTTATGTGGGGAGCACATACGCAGTCGCTGAGACTCCTGTGCTCTCTGGTGTAACCTGCTGAGAGGCACCGCCTGCCCATAGGTGTATCCATAGAGGTTTTACCCACCAGTGGATTGACATAAACATTCCTCATCTTTGCCACCAGCCTTGTACAAGCAGCAATAACCTGCTGCTTCAGGAGCAATCGTAGAGGCTGGGCATGGGCATCTGCCAAGGGCATCCATCCCTGGATGCGCTGTGTGCCTGTCTCAGGTGATTGGAGTCAGGCAGCAACACTTTGCCTAGGCTTATTCCCACCATGCTAAATCCAGCAGTGGATAAAACCAAACCATTTGTCACCACTTTCCCAGCAGAGGACCCCTCGCCCACCAGCCCCAGGAAGTTTTTTGGTGGAGCAGCCTTCTGCCACTGCACTGGCCCAGGTCTCTCTGTGGCTTTTGTTCCTGCTCATGCCTTTATAGCGTGTCTAGCCTTGAAATCACGTGCCTGAACCAAAGTATTCAAAGAGAAGCTGTAGTCCTCGAGGTTGAAGTTCTGTTTGGCTGTGGAGAAATGGGAAGAGAGTTGGAAATTAGCGGTCAGTGTTCCACCTTTTCAAAAAACTCATCTTGTTTTGCTCTTACCTTCCTCTAGCTTGGAGAAAGACTGAGACAGGGGCAGCGCATCTTCCATCGGGACCTTGTAGACTAGAAAATAGGGAAACCTTGAAGAAAAAGAAGAAAAGGTGATTCTTGCTCTGTATTGAGCCTCTGGGATCAAAAGTTTATGTCACACTATGAGCTGGATAGATGGATGTTTTGCTGCAGGGATCGCAGCAGGGTTGGATGTGGTAATGTTACCAAATCAGATCCCCATATAGAGATTCTGAGCTGTTTTTGCCTCTCAAACTGAGATCCTATGTCTGGGCACATTTTTAGGGACGAGGTAGTGTTGGAACCACCATTCATCCCACATTTTATAGTTACCGCTCCTGACGGGCTGCACTTGGGAAAATCCTCAAAATCTCAGCATGGAGAAGATCAGTGCGCTCAGGGTCCATGACTTTAATTTCCAGTAGATAACCTTTACCAAACTTGTTCTTCAGGTACTGAATGGAGCCAATGCATCTGCAGGGGAAGGAGGGAAAAAAAGAGATGTCAGTGTGAAACCATTGGTGCCCCATTGTCTGCTCCTTCCCAAATTGTATTGCTGGTGAGACCACGGAGAGCACTTCATAAAGCCCATGGTGATGGGCTTAGGTAGGTGAGGCCAGAGGAGAAACCCCTGTTGCTGCATGCTACCCACCGTATCTGCCCGGACACCATGATGGCCACGCGGTCGCACACCGCCTCCGCCTCCTCCATGTAGTGCGTCGTCAGAACGGCTCCCGTCTCCTCGGTTTTCAGGGCAGCACGAATCATCTTCCTGAGGACCAGAGGGGAGGGGGGAGGGGGGAAAGCTAACACTCCCTAGGAATATCAGACACTTTTTCTTATACCTTTGTCCCTCCAAACACCTCTCCCCTGAAACAAGTGTAGAAACTTTACATACAGCAACTTTAGACTGATGTGGACATGGTAATACTTTGAAATAATGACAAAAAGAAATATTTTTGACTCAGGTCCATTTATGGATTCTTCCAAATCCCATATATGACTGTCCCAAAGTTTGCAATAAGGGTGAATTCACAGGTAAAAGGGTTTTTCTCTCTCCTTGCTCACGCTTTAGCTAGAGAGAACCAGGAAAACAGTTTCCAATGAAACCATTGGTACGTGATGAGCAGCACTAACCACAGATGGGGCAAAATACTCTTTACCTAACCTTAGGCATCTACTCTTGGCTTCCAACCCCTTTACCACCATGGTGGCACAGTGCCTGAGGTCCTACTCACCAAACACAATGCTGCCCGTTGGGGTCCATGCCAGTTGATGGCTCGTCCAGGAGCAGGACCGCGGGGTTGCCCAGCACGCACATTGCGAAGCACAGCTATGACAGGGAAAGGGGTTTGAGTCAAGCCTTTTGCAGTCCCTGGCACTCTGTCTACAAAGAGCTGCGGACAGCGTCCCTTCATTTGTGGGAATCAAGGTTCTGATTTATAGGAAATGTGGATTTGGAAAAGGCTAATTTCCATCATCTCACCATGGGAGACAAAACGATGTTCTCCTGGGTGGCTCAGAGCACAGGTAGGTCCCTCCGTTCACGGAGGGGATTTTTCATTTGTGCTATGGACATTGCAGTGCTCATTATAGGTAAAACAAAACACACCTTTCTGGTTATCCCAGCAGATAATTTTCTGGCTTTTTTTTTTAAATAGTCTTGAAGCTGCAGAGCATTCACTATTCTGTGGGGAAAGGGAACAAACAAACAAAAAGAACATTTTTGTTATTCCCAACTCAATACTCTCATCAAGGATTCCCAAAACGATAAGAAAAAGGAACTTTCTTCCCCTTGCTCAACTCTGGCTTGTTTGCATTAAACATTTATTGCGTTATTAAAATGTAAGTGAATATTTGAAGCAAAGTGTACTGAATAAGCCACAAGTTCTTTTCTAAACCCATCATTAGTGTCAACAGCATTATAAATCCATTCCACCTTGCCAGTGTCAGCTGAGCAGGCAGTACTTAAACACCCTTTCTTGTAGTGCCAAACTGTAACATCAGAGACTTCAGAAATGCTTCCTAAAGATAACATACTTAAAAGGACATTAGTGGTAAATTTATCCCCACTAAATGCACTTAGGCAAATTGGAGATTTTCTTAACCTACTCACTTAATCATGGCATTTAGCACAAAATCCCTTTTGCAGTTCCATTTCCTGAGTTTCTTTCAAGGTTGCCTCTGGCTCACAGTGAATTTTGACTTTCTGGTCCCCTCCCCGTGCTCTAGGTCTAGGGCATAAAACATTGACCAACCCCTGGAAACACCTTCCATCCGTACCGGTTGACGGCAGCAGCCGCATCCTCCTTGCACACCCCTTTCACGGCGGCGGCGACAGGTGCTCGTGCACGGTGAGGTCTGGCCAGAGCGGGTCCTCCTGCGGGCAGTACCCCAGGAAGGCGGGCACGTGGTCCTGGAGGTGGGAGGTTGCTCCATCTCCCTTCTTCATCAGCACCTGCACAACCAGGCTAATCATTTTGCTCTCGCATAGCCTTGCCCCGATACAAGGGTATGGTTCAGAGGAAGACTATGGGTTTCATTGGGATTTAGGTGAGGAAACCCAAAGAGCAAGGGAGTGATTTTGCAACCCTCATTTACATGGTTTCTAAATATAAACATGGCCAATTAGGGTAGATGCAACTGCTTGTCAAAGTTAGAAGTAGCTCACAATATTTTTTATTAATAGATTATTTAACTTAATAGCACAATGAATTCAGTTAAAACCTTGATCACTAATAATGCTTCGAAAAAAATTATAGCTTATCCTAGATGCAAGGTTTGCACTTGCACTTTTATCATGGATTTATCCTTTTTCTTCAGATGCTTCTTACCTGCCCAGCAGTCAGTGTTGTCTCTCCAGTAATCATTTTGATAGCTGTGCTTTTACCAGCTCCATTGGGCCCCAGAAGTCCTAATACTTCTCCTGGAATCAATACATATAATTTCTTAGTAATACTCCCCATTCAACAAATATATCATGCACAGTCCCATAATAGAAAAAATATAAAAGAGAGCATGCTAATACCAAAGATCATATAAAAGTAAACAGTATAAATATATGCTCTGAGAGCCCATAGCGTTTTGACTTTGACTGATGCTTTGACTTTGACCTGCATTGCTCGCAGGTCACTCAGAAGCCACTGCTGAAGTGGATCCTGGAGAGAGGGGGCTGTGTTATTTTAGATAACGGAGAGTCCGAGGTAACTAATAGGATGCATCCATGTCACATTTTTCATTAACAGACCAAACATGCCTTAACCACAGAGCAAGTAGATTTGACCTTTATGTCCTTGCTCAGATAACTGAGAATCTGCAGAGAATTAACTCTCTGGGTGTGACCAGGGGGTCCAAAACAGGTCTAGGAGAACAGTTCCAGTTCTCACCTTTTTTAACACAGAAGGAAACATTTCTGGTGGCCATTTTCTTCTTCTTCTTAAAAAATGAACCAGCTTGCTTTATTTCATATTCCTTGCATAGATTGCTGACAATAATGACTGATTTCTGAAAGCAAAGAGGAAGAAGAAAGATTAGTCTATTATATTGAATAGCATTAATCCTTCAGTAATATTTTTCCATTAAAAAAGGCAGAAAACCTTCTAAAGATCTTTGAATGTGTTTTCTAGTTCACTGAGAATATGAGGTGCAACAGGACACTTTATTGTCCACGTTCCTCTTAACAGCTTTCTTCCCTATTCTGATGGGACCCACACTGTACATTTGGGAGTTTGATTTTCCCAGTGAGAATAATACAGCCAGAGCACTAACTTGCACTTATTGATACTTGGTGGTTTGTTTTTTTACCAGGGGGCTTCTTACTGGTATAAAATAAAACAAGAAGGACAACACGGAGTCGTACCTCCTCCTGACTCGGAGCCGCTATGGCATTTCTCACTGCTGCTCTTTCAGCTTTAACATCTTCATCCTCCTCTTCGAGCTCCTCGGGGTGCTGGTGGCTGCTTTCTCTTCTTGGGGAAATCCTACAAACCCACCAGATTCGTCTTAGCATTCTGGTGCTAAGACGTGCTTACCCCTGTTCTCCACCAATGTGTTTTGTATAGACCAACAATTAATGTCCCTCTGGTTCAATGTTTCTTGTGGGGATTATTTTTTTGTTTGTTTGTTTGTTTTATATATTTATAATCTTCCTGTGTTGTACAAAGAACCAAGCTGGTACATCCACACTGCACAGACAACACTGTGTGGAGGTACTAACAAGTTTGAGAGCCGTTTTATATTATCATAGCACTGTAGTATTTAAGGGGCTATTCTAGTCATAAAAAATAACCAGTATTAAAAAAATATTTAAAAATAGGGACACAAAGGCAATGATATCTGATCAAAATGTTGTCTTCAAGGAAAAGCAGTGTGGTAGGAGTTTAGACCTCGCATGTGCCTGTTGTGCATGTATTTTATACAAACCTAAATATTGGATCCTTTCTCAGAACTGCCCTTCCATATTTTATCTCCAAATATCGAAGAAGAAAAATGAAGAACACAGAATGGATATAAGGCTGAAAAAAAGAGGTTGCCACATTAACAGCCTTGCCTTCCATCCTACTACAGCTGAAACTGAGAAGATGGTGGCCGTGTTATAAAATATGTGGGGGAAAACCACAGTATGCGAAAATAAAGTCCATTAACATTTAATCTCAGGGTAATCCTGAAGGCTGTGAATTCTACTATCACTTACAAATCCTGCAGAAAATACCAATGGTAGAAGAAAAACACAATTCATAAAATAACAGGGCAGCATTAAGTGATCTGGGCTTATTTTATTTTCCCTTCCCCATTTCAAAGGAGCGAGGTTATTTTTGCCCAGGGGGGTAATCTGTCATTCAGACCCACCGAGATCCTCCTTCTGCATGAAATGAGCTCAGGGTTCTTTCCTGCTTCCTCATAACTGAGGATGTGGTTTAGGAGACACATATTCCTAAATAAAAGTAATCTCAAATGTTTTCTTACTGCAAAGACAGCTATTAGTACATCATTCCTTGGAGTCACGGCAAAATTCTCAGCGTCTTCTATAAAAATCTAGAACAATAAAAAAAAATACACAATGAAGACCTGTAATTCTTTAGTATAATGCTGGCTAATTTTGGAAGGGTTAAAGCGAACAACAAATACTTTGAAAATGTACAAAAGCTTCTGATTTACCCAAAATATTCACCATACAGATGAACAAATACAGATGCTTGACTTTGTGCATCCCAGTCCTATACCAGAAAATGTCACGGCACTCAATACATGTATCAGACTCTCCTTTTGGGGGTAATGGCCTATCACAGGAAAACATCTGGTCTCCTCTCCTTTGGGGTCCCAGCGGAGAAGAGGTGGAGGTGAGTGGGACAGGACAGAGGAGGAGTCTCTTCTGTTTGGACTTCAATCCTAAGTCATTTATGGCTCATAAATGGTCTTGCACGTAGCTGGAGGGTTTTGTTAAATTCCATGACCACCCTCAGCTGACATGGAGTAAAACACCTTGTGAGTATTCTTAATTCTCACTCAGTTTCCATGCAAAGTCAGATGTGTACCTTCAGTTTTTCTCTTATGATTGTTCAAGTCAAGTTGCTTGACTCTGCATGGAAAGAATTAAGAGTGCTTACCTAATCTACAGTCACAGCTCAACTGCACGAGAAGTAGCCCCTAGCCATAGCGAACAGCTGGAAAAATTAGATCTGATCTGAAATGGTCATCTAACGGTGCACTCTGGCTATTTGGAAAATCCCACCTATAAGAGGAAACTAATGAGCCTTCCCCGAACACAGCGTGCGGTTACCACCAGACTTTGCTCACAAGGACACATGGTCATGTTTTATGGTGGGGTGCCTCTCCCCACCCAGCGGCACCGCTTACCTGCTGGCAGTTGATCATTACACCCAGCAGTGGGTACATGGGAATCGCGAGAGACAAAATGTAGAGGGAGACTCTAATGCCAGTTAAGAAATCCATGACTCTGCTGATGATATAAGAAACAAAGCATACCTAAAAATAAAACAAGAGGCTAACTTAGCTGATGGGAAGGGGTTACGTTCCCCACTGGTCTTAAAAATTAAGTGGGTCTACCTTTTCAATTCCCTGTTGAATTTCTAAAAATGGACAAGAAATATAAAGATGAGAAACAGTGAAGGTTCAGGAGGTCCTCGGCCATTTCTGCTTGATGGTAGGCTGCTGGTTTGGGTCAGCCAGGGAAACTTCTTCCCAGACACAGGGCTGCTTCGGGCAGAAGAATGAAGCATGGGATCCTGTCCTGTTCTTTCCCATCCCAGTTCATGCCAAATAACCCATCTCCTTCTAGGTCAGGCTCAGGCTATCTGCGTCTACCCTGCTGGCTCATGTCTCAACACCTTACATCTCTTGGATGTGAGGTGCTGAACAAAATGATAAATAACTTTTTTGCCTCCATTCCTGCACCAGCTCAGGGTGGATCCAAGCATTTTCCTGTGCCACAGCAGGATTGTGGGAACAGAACATGGTGACACGAATTTAATATAGAATTTACTGCTGTAAAACACATGCCCGTATTTATGTTCTACATCTATGCTTGGTGTTTTGACCTCTAGTTCATCCTTAAGATCTCAAAATATATTTCTGTAAACCCTACAGCACATTATCTAGCCATATGCTTACCACTATCAGGATAAAAGACCAAAAATCACTGTTCCATCCTTTGCGAAAGACGAAGGAGATCAAGTAGATGAAGAGAACGATAGAAATTCCATAGCCAAAAGTACCCATGATCTAAAGAAAAAAAGGGCTTTCATTGGAGAAAATGGAGTGATCTAAACAACCAGAAACCTATGTATTGCAATGTGGTTCAGTTTAAATGATCATACATTAAGATCAGGGCATTCAGAAATTACCACAATTTCACTGCTAAGTGTAAAGGAGTATATTAAGGCAAGATTTATTGCCTTTTATTTCCAGCTGGGGAAGCCCAAAGGATAGGAGGTGAAACAAGGAGAAGGTCAGTAAGCATCTGGGGACCCAGAGGTGTGCCAGCACTGTCTGCACCCACGGTGTCTCAGCTACCCCTACATGTGCTCAAAATATTACCCCAATCCCTCCCTAGTGAACCAGCAATCACCAGAATGGGAGGTACCAGCAAGAAGAGGCTGTCGATGCTCCAGGAAATCTTGTTACTCATTGCGAACTGAAGCCCGAACATCGAGAAGAGAAGGAGCCAGCACAGCGGGATGTCCACCAGCGCCTGGCCGCACCAGTACGCCGAGGGAAAGCGCCCCGAGATCCACAGCTGGGCACGAGCTCCCACCTGGGAAGGCACAAGGCAAAGGGGAGTGCCAACTGCACCCATGGGAATGGCTCCAGGAAATAAAAAGCCAACAAAAAGCTGTTACCATTGCGGTACTGGGATAAAATTCCACCTCTTTTTGTCTTTTAGCATTTTGTGCTGGCTGCAAAGCTGCTCATGGCAATACAGAGAAAAATGCCTCAAGCTGCCCATCATATTCAAATGTCCTTGTGGCAATGCAGTTGTAACCCCTTCTGCCCAGCTCAAATCTGCTCCATTTCAAGGAATTTACCTTGTAATCCTGCATGTAGCCCATTGCAAAGTGAGGAGGAAAACCAGGGAATAACAGCAGCATATAAATGAGGTAAAAAGAAACAAAATAATCCCAGAATTGTAGATCATCTATCTGAAAACAGAAGAACAAAGCATTTGTAGAAAACATCTGCAATGTAATGGCTAGATGCCACAATTCATCTTACTGCATTTCTCATGAAGTACAGGGCAGTATGAACACAAAGTGTGATTTGAAACCAAATATTGGCAGGAGGAAGGTTTTCCCCAAACGATAGCCCTGCACAGTGCTTGCCACTGGTGAGGAGAGTGCAGGTCCCACTCCTCCATCCCAGACTTGTGGTGAGCTATCTCTTCTGTCAATTGATGGGCCACAGCTTGAATAACGTGATGTAGAGAACAAGGAACCTCCCGAAGAAACCCTCCCAGACACCCTCTCCATTCAGCAGCCCTCGAGACCCACGGGGGAAAAATTAGCTTCAGTTTTCCTGCAGTCAAACATGATAGTTCCAGAGCCACCACCAAGGAAAGTAGGTCTACAGGTGCAGACAGCCCCACATGGCTTCCCATTAAAATCTGATGACTTACTGAGACGTTAAGCAGATTTAAGAACTATTTTCTGACACCTTCTGGCTGCCAGATTCTGACACTTACAGAGAAAAATGGATGACTCCAGATCCGAATGTGCATGGTGGAATTGAGGGCTCTCAGCAGAGCATTGCTAATGATGTTCACAAGCACTGGGAAGCAGTTGACGGCCTCCATGTGGCATAACACGGTAAACCTGTAGCTCTTCAAAGAGCAAGAAAACAAGATGAAAACTCTTGGCTTTTCTCATCTGCAGGGAAGCAGTAGAAAAAAAGCATGCCAGGAGAATCCAGGCCTGAAATAATTCATTTTGTCTATGCTTTGTTTGCTAAAAACCAAATTATTAGGTATTGGAAGTCTGTATAGCTGTGCTACAAAAATGAAAAGTTCAAGGTGGAGAGTGAGAGAGATAAGGTCTCCTCTAGCATGTAGTTTACCAATTAAAACACTTCCCAATCTTTGTACGTGTGGGCCTTATTCAATAGGACCATCCCACAGGTAGAGCTGATGGAGGCATTTTGCCTAATTATTCAGTTGTTGGGAAGAAACAGGAGAAGAGAACAAAAATCCTTACCTGGCCTTTGCGAGACACTTTTATAGCCCCATTGTGTTTTAGCTCCTCTGTGATATTTTCCTCGCTTTTTATTTCCACTGTGAGATCTTGGCTCTCGAGCGTGTGGATGAAGTCTTCAATGCCTGCGCCTGGTGTGAAAGACAAAAGCAGAGGAATCATAATACTGAACAACAAGAGAGTCTTTGATAGTTTGTTGTTTTTTTTTTAAATCCATGACCACCAAACAAAAACAGAGAAAGTCTAATAACCGTGGACATCAGACAGCACATATGTGGTGGATCATTTCTGTGAAGTTAATGGATTTCAGTCTCATTGACTGAATCTTGCATTGTCTTTTTTTTTTTTCTGCCTTTGCTGAGTTGCTACAAAATGTATTTTCCTTGCTGATGGTCTGATGAAGCCAACACTATCATACTCTGGCAAAATAACATAAAATAGCATCCACTGATAGGAATGCTGAAGGTAAAACTCTGGAAGTAGACCGTTAATTTGACTCAGCATTAGTGAGCCCTTACTGGAGTATGGTGCCTGGTTTGAGGATCCCACACTCTGAAAATGCAGAGATTGTTTGGGCAGAGATCTGGATTTGGGTCAGCGAAAGAACTGGGTCCCTTCTAATCCCATTTGCTACGATATCCCTTTTCACATCATTGCATCAGGATCTCACCAGCTGCTGAAGCCAAAGTAGGCTTCATTCACAACCCCTTAAAGATGACAATTTCCACGCTCTTCTGTCACTAAAACCTTCATCATCCCTTGGGTCCCCTCCATCCTACAACTGCCTGCTCTTTCCTTTGCAACAGCAAGAAGCCCCAGAATAAGAAAGGATGAGGAAAGGCTCGTTCCCCTCACCCGTGTTGTTGTGGACCAGGAGGCTGGTTGTGTCCGAGTGAGCCCTCTTCCCCAGGGGCAAGAAGTACCGTGCAGATGAGAGCTCCCAAACGCTCGCACTCTGCCAGGCAGCAACCAGGGACAGTTGCAAAACCAGAGGAAGCAGAAAAACCACATAGAGCAGCAAACTACATTAAGAAAGAGATGAATAAACACTCTAAAAACAGATATTCAGCAGAACACATTTGTGTATTGGGAATGGTATACTATATTCAGGTTACCCAATGCTTTTTCTGTTAAAAAATTTTGGCAAGTTTATTTTCAGAAGTCTCAAACCTTGACCATTCAACAAAGGCTCTCAAAATTTAGCAGGGAGAGGACCTCAGATCTGGAGTGCTCAACTTTTTAGGACCATGAAATGCCTTTCAGACTTCCTTAAGATATAAGTTTTTCATAAATCAGCATCTCCCTTCTGTTTCCTGTGCTCCACCAGGAAATGCCAGCACGCCAGACTGAAGACCAATGGGGCCAAATGAGTTCAGACCCTGGCAACATGAGAGAAGTTTGAAAAGAATTAGAGGAAGCCTGAAAGTAGTTTTTTTCCCTCCACTCTCTGTACACACTAGTTTATTTTAAAACTTCCTCCTCCATCTGAAATAAAAGTGTTTCTAAGTGATTCTTTTCTTCAGAAAGAAAATGGGTTTCCCTTGCATAAATCACACAGCATAGAAATGAAAATGCACAAAAGGGAGATTTTATATTACTGGCACTGGAAAGGAAGAAGCTTTCCTCTCCTCTGAGTGCAGATTACCAAGATCATTCATAGCCAAGACCTGATATCAATTAATCCAAACACTCATCGAAACAGGGGTGTGAAAATTGTCCCCCCTGCTGTGACCGTATCCTGTTCCAGATCTGCAAGAGAAAACCCCCTTGGTACTTACATTGACCGCAGGTTTTTCACTGAACTCTTAAGCTTTAAGAAGTGCACCCATGCCATGGCAGAGACCTGCTGCCTCCAGAGAGCCAAGCCACCGACTGCTGCCCTCCTGGTGTCCGAGAGCAGCAGGGAGCCAGGCTCCGTCTCATCGGGGCACCGTCCTGCTTCTGCCCACTCCTCCCCAAGGACACGCTCATCTGCAGAGAGTTTTCCACATGCACATTTATGTCTGAGACCAGCTTCTACGTTGTAATGTGTGAAAAATTAAGAGCCACCTCGTAATCAGCTGTTGGAGGCATGCCCAGGGGTTATTGCAAAGTAGCCGTTCTCTTCGGCTACAGATTATGTATTTGCAGCCATGATTGTACCTTCTTGATCCACTGTGGCTTCTTCCTCCAGTCTCAGGAAGACATCCTCCAGGGTTGTCATGCTGACTCCATAATTGATAATTCCCTGGTCAGAGTAGCTGTCGAGGCCACTGAACAGATCTGCGGGACAGAGATAATACAATTGCCTTCAAGGTTTCAAACATAAGCACGTATCTCCAGACCGGACTGTGGTTCAGCTGAGTCAACCTGACTGGAGCATCTCCAGTCACAGGGAAAATGATAAAGCAGCGAGCTGCCAGGATGCAAAGGGTCTGGAGGAACACAAAGCTGCCAGATCCATAGCTCATTGAAGATGTTTTTCTACTTAGAACCAACATTTCGGACTATGCATCCTCTGAGGCAGTAGGGCTGCGGGACTGTCAGACTGAATGTGACGGACACGGTGAGTGAGGGTCTGCCTGGTGCCACTGCAGGTGGGGAGCAGTACCGGTTGTATGGAGTTTTCTCTTGTCACTATTCTCTTTTAACAGAAAGAAAAACAAACTCTCAGTAACACATGTAGCCCAGTTTGGCCTGCTAGTTTTTTTTCATTAAAAACAGTAGAAAAGCATTTGTTGTACATTTTGATCTTAAATGTATGGATGCTAAAATTGTGGGGGGAAAACCAAAGGGAATGCAACAGTTCTAAAGTCCTTATGTGACTCCTGTAGAAAATCTCCCTCTCCATTTCTCTTTCCCCACATTTGTGATTATTTTTCCTCTATGGACAATTCTCGATTATTTTAGTATACATTACCTGGGAATTTTTTCACGTTTTCTAATGGCAGTTTATATCTCAGCTCATATTGACTGTGTCCTGAGAATATGACATTGGGGATGTACTGTTTAACCAGAGAGGTCACGTTCTCTAAGTCACAAGACTCACTGACATGGATCCTGTTCAGTTGAAAAAAACAGATGCTTAGTTTTAAATACACCCACCCCACCCCACCCCCACCCCAAATAAACAGCAACCACCATTGTATTTGCTAGGATGCATAAAAAGAAAACTCCAGCATACTTCATTCATTCTTTACTCTGGAGTAAAGTGCTGCTTCAGTTAATTTAACTGAATATTAATTCAGTTAATGTCCTTGTTTTGATGACATTTGCCCTATGGTTTCCCCCTTACAGTCATTCTGGTGGCTCCTTGTACCTGCATGTTGCCAGATACCAGTTGTTGGGGCTGAAGTAGATACCTTAAATGATAGCCAATCCCCCATTTTTTCTTCAAGAACAGAGAAGAACCGACACACTTCAGCCTCCCATGCGAGATAAAAGCCTTGCGGTCTAAAGAAAGAAAAAGCCAAAGGAATTTATACTGTAGAGCAGTCGTTCCAAACTTTTTTTGCACCTGAACCTCACATGGGCTTTCTGCTCCAGGGTTATTCTGCAGAGATGCTACAGGCTGAGCCTGTGTTTACCTGCAAGGATATCGGCCTCGTCCATGAACTGGGTACTGAACAGGATCACCCGTCCAGCTCTGTGCTCCTTGAGGAGGCTCCACACCTGGTGCCTGGAAAGAGGATCCAACCCAGCCGTTGGCTCATCCAGGAACAAAACCTGCAGAAAGGATGAAGTCAGACATTTCCCATTGCCAGAGCAATTGCACATCTTTTGGGTTTGGTGTTCCCCTGAAAGCCTCAGGTCCTGAAAGCAAGAGACCCAGGCCACCTTTTATGCAAGGGTGGCTATTCTGGGAGCTGTGCAGAGGTCAGGGAACTATCTATCTGCTTTAAAACTAGACTAGCAAGATGGGTTATGAACTTAATGAAAAAAAATTATTAATTTTATTAATTTTAATAATTATGAGCGCTTTAAAGAGGTCTGAAATCATGCACAGATTTGTAGCCAAGTACATGCATAAGTTTTTAGTTATGTTGGACCTGAATATTCCCTGTATTACAGAACCATGCCTGCTGCTTTACCTGCGGGTTTCCAAGCATGGCTATTCCGATGGATAACTTCCGTTTTTGCCCACCACTCAGTTTCTCAGCTTGAGTGTCTTGAATGTTGCTGATATCCAGCATTTCCAAAATGTTTTGCACCTGGAACAGCACAAAGATGTCCATTCTCAGCACCAGTTGTCCTTCCATCCTTTTTTAGCCGTGAAGGAGACCTGGCTGGGACTGAAGGCACAGTTTCTAAGGGCATGTACTGAGGTCTACCACCACTAGCAGGAGCAGCCACATCCCCTCATCTCCTTGGGTTAAGCAGAGGAATCGCTGTGGTTGCATCAAGCCTACAAGCTTGCCTACTAACCTGGTCGAAGCTCGACACCAGCTTCGATTTTCAGAAGACACAGCCAGGTGGACACTTTGAGCTTCCCAGTGCAAAAGGAGCCTTTGCTGAAACGTGGGGTTTGCCTACAGCCTCACGTTGCTGCGCAGTGATGCCTTTCAGAGGAACACACGCTTACCTCTCGCTCTACCTCTTTGGACTTGATGCCCTTGATTTCTGCAAAAGTTTTCAAGTTTTCTTTCACCGTTAAGACTTCAAACTGCGTGTTGAATTGTGGGCAAATGCCAATCATCTCTCTAATCGCTTCTCTATCTCCTATTTCAGAGAGTTTGTAATTGTATATGGTTGCAGAGCCTGTTTACAGGAATAAATATGATGAGGTGGAACGAACTGGTCTTTACCACTTTTGAATCAAGCCCACCCTGTCCTACTGTTTGCCACCCTACCTTCAGAAGGCAAAGTGAGTCCACTGAGCACGTTTAACAGTGTTGTCTTTCCAGCCCCACTGTGGCCGAGTAAGGCAGTGATCTGACCCTCATAAATATTTAAAGACAAACCTAGAATGAAAACAACATCAAGTTTGGGAAGAAATGAGGTTTGACTTGCCCCTACTCATTGTCGAAGGCAAAACAAGTCAAGAAGTATAAGAACTAAGTAGCAATAATTAACCAAAAGTGCATTAAACAATGTGGGGCAAAGTTCTGCAAACCTTTAACTAAAGGCATAAGAAGCTGCTCTGTATTTAACAGAAAAGACAGAAATACAACAATAGAAAAAAAATCTTTCTTCTCTTTAGTCTTATTAAAAATGGAAAATCAGTAAAAACTGAACAAAATAGTAATCAGTTGCATTAATTAATATTTTACATAAATTTTCAAGCAATGCAAGTGTTGTTTTATTTCTTTGACTGACTGAATGTTTGCACAACTGTTTTTCCTCATCTTTAACAGGAATCAATATCATCGCTGTCATACCTCTTAAAGCTTCTGTCATCTTGTCCTTCTTTTTATATGCTTTTTTAATATTGTTGAGTCTAAAAGGAAGGTAAGGAGGATATTATTCCAGGATTGCTGTAAATTCATTTCCCTGGTGCCCTTTTCCATTCTTACGCGCCTTAATTTAAAATGACAGAAATGGCATCGAAAGTAAGAGGTACTGGGAAGCAACGCTGAGATTCAGCAGGGTTTGGCATGCTCTGTACACAGGCATGAACATCACTACCTGGCACGCGATACCGGAGCACCAAGCCTTGCAAAGACAAGGTCAAGCCCATTGCCACAGATGGCTGTTTTACAATGGGCTGCCCTCCGCATTCTCCTTGTTGTCCCTACTGGACATTTAACAAAGTCCACAGCAAAAAACCTGTTTTTTTTTAAATCTGAATTTATCTGAATTTCACCATTAGTGACCAGCCTGAATTATCTATTTATCTCATTTGCATTTTATCTCTAATTTTTCTCTGTGAAATGAAGTGTTTCGCAAGAGCCTCATGAACACGAAAACTGCCTGGATAAGTCAAAACAAAGCTGATGGCAGAAGCAGTGGTCTGTGGGAGCATTAAACCCAAGCTACCCAACTCAAAAAGCATGAATAGCAATTCCTTCTCTCTTAACCTGATGGCCTCCTTCCCCATGAATTCGGGGGGCACCGGCTCTATATCATCATTGAGGAGCTCCTCGGGGCTCACTGCAGTTCTGGGCATCTCCCTGGTGGAGCCTCTTCTGCTCCGCACCCAGTATGAGGGCTTCAGGCAGAAAAAAGGGGGATCGGGGATGCCGTATTTGCCTGACAGGAAAGCAAAGAAGATGACCTGTCATTAACCACAGCCACAACCAAGACATCACCCTAGACTAAACATTTAGGAGGTTCTAATAAGTACTTGGCTGCCTCAAAATTGGTACTTTGTCCAGTTAAAAAAAAGAGATTTGGAGCTGGGGTAGATGAGACAAGAAGGTTGGCTTCAGGGTTATATCTAATGAATTCAATATTTTACTTAATGAATTAAAATATTGTCCCACACATTATTACACTATATTCTCATAAACATTTCAACAGCCGTATAATTAGAAAGAAAAACCACTAAATTGTTGTCTTTGATTTGGGAATTACCAGTGTGTGCCAGGGCAGAAAAGTCACTCAGTGATATAATACATTTTTTTAGTCCAAAACCTATTTTGGTTGACTCAGAGAATGGAGCAGCCCGTCATTTCCTCGAGGAGCTATTACACGCAATCTGTATAAATCAAAACTATAAAAGAAGAAAGTATGATCATAAGCATAAATCATACCTACCTGGCAGAACTTTGTCGAAATACATAGCTAACAGCATGTACAAGACTGAGTCGAAGACCAGCATAATGTAAGTCGAAAATAAAAAGTATGATTCCTCCATAAGATTAGAAAAAGAGAAACCCATTCCATATTTTTCTAAATGGAAAACCTGAAATAAAGGGCAAAGAAGAATAATTTTCAGGCTGGAAAACTACGCACACGCCATCAAACCATGGATGCGATTGACTTTGTTAACCCAGAAATCATCTGCAGTACTGACCAATTTTTCTTCCTTTCTTTCTAGTGAGGAAGGGAAATAAATTTACTCCACACAGAGATCTTATGTTTTCAGTCAGAATTTTCCAGAACAATCCAGAAGCAGAAGAAAAGGTCAGAGTTTTATAGAAAATCATTCAAGAAACGTGATATTGGCACCCTTGACGCGACAGAGTCATGACAAAGAGTATAATTTTACATCGTGATTGATTTAACCATATGGTAAATTAGCAGTAAACCCAGTTTCTTTTTCTGCTGGTGCAGAAATCTCCTCTCCTAGGCAGATTTTTTTATATATCAGGAAATCAAATATTAAGTAACTGGAGCTAGAAAGCATCGCTCAGAGCTATGGAGATATGACTGATGGAAAACTGGGAAACTGCACAGAATTATCCAAAGCAGGGATGGAGGAAGGATGCCCGCAGCAGAAAACTCGACTTGTGTTTGCATAGTCTCTGTTGCCAGGAAGAGTCGCTGCAGCGAGAGGGGAATGACCGGGCGGCGAAGAGCTGATGTCCCCGAGTCAACTCCCGTCTGCCTGGGGTCCAGCCCTGGAGGATAATGGTGCTGTTGTGTGCAGGGATGGGCTCGCTGGGGCTTCCTCGGGTTCATGTGGACGCTTCGGAAGGGCACAACGGCAGATTATTTGTGACAAGGGCTGTTGTTTTCTTTGCATTCATCGGCTTTTTAAATAGGGGAACAGGATGGGGGCATTGGAGCCCCTCTTTGCTGCCCAACAGCAGCTCAGCTCGCATGGAAGTTTCAAAACAGGATGCGGATATGAATGAAAAGTACCTGAAGATTTTACAGATGTGGAAAAGCTGGTCTTTTGAAATGAGGACTATGACTTCCTATGCCTTTGTCTATCAGTAAAGTACAGCAGGGTCTTTTATTGCCACTGTCTGTGACAAAATGTACTCTGTCCCCACCGAGAAGGCCCAGGACAGCAAGCTACTGGGAAGGTTCAGCTACAGAGATGATACCCCATACCTTTGCAATGCCAGCATTAAATGCAAAAGGACAGAAGAGACCGAGAAACCACTTCAACAGTTCTGGAAGGTTTTCTATCAGCACCGCGAGGCTCAGGCATCCGAAGAGAAAGGTGATGAGGAACCCCATGGAGCCGGCAAGTTTGGAGGTCCTTAAGAGGGAGCAGAGCATGAAAACCAGGTGGATCTGTAAGAACAGAATTTTCCTTCGATCACTGAAGGAAATAAATATCTTTAACAGTAGCACTTCCATTTGCCAGGCAAACAGATCTCTGGTGAGCTGAGTTTGTGTAATAAAATACACTAAAGTCCTTCTTAGTGGGTTGATCTGAGTATTGAATCAGATCTTTTGTAGCCAACCTACTGCCTGTCAGACCTTCAGGCTGCAATTCAAATCACTGCTGCTGAGTCAGAGAATCCACTCAGCTATTTCAATTAGCATGACCATGCAAAGTATATAGTCCTGAGCGCTGTGCAAAAGGCTCTGGAATACTGCTTAGGCTCATCAACATAGTAATAAATAAATCACGCGGTGGGAAAATTTGGCTTTAAAACCTGACTTACACATGCTAGGCCATAGAGGAAAAACAGCAGTAAGACCGCAGGGAAGCTGCTGAGGTAGAAAGCATCCTGCATCACAAGAACTGTCAGCAGGCAGGAGAGGACCATCACGTAAACAGCATACAGCAGACTCCAGGAGAGCCTGAGGATGGAATGGTGGCATTACACTTTTGTTTAATTAAGAACTGTTGTTACAACTTCATCTGCATGTCAGAACCATTTTAAATTAAAATATTAATTATTTCTCAGGGTCAACTCATTCACATCCTAGGCAGAACAGATAGCATGATCCACCTTAGGAGGAAATACCCAAGGAAGAAGAACACACCGCTGCCATGCTCAACCTTTCTGGTTTGTCCTTAGAGTGCTGGAGAAAACTTACGAACTCATTTAACTTACTAACTGACTGCGCAGGTGCCCAGGAGTATCCTGATTTTTGGCAAACATACTTTAGTTAAAAAAAGAACTCACCAAAATGCAATATCCTGCAGCCCCATTGTCTTCATCAATACTTTGAGCTTCTTCTTTTCTCTTACAACGTTCATTGATAAGAAATACATGAACGGAGAGAAACACATCACGATAGTAATCATGAAATAACTGTACTCGAGTGTAATCGAGGAGATGACGCTCCGGGACTTCATACGGACACCAGCAATTGATTTCATTTCTTCCCAAACAGAATGATTTGCCACCACCTAAAGGATTTCAAGGTCAACATCTTAGTATTTAATTTATTTTCTAGAGAGAGATGTATTTATATAAGGAACCTTCTGATTCACCATCCCTAGATTTACTTTTTAATGCAGCTTTATAGAAAACATCAACAAGTAATGCAAAAAAGCCCTATGGGAAGGGCTCGTCTGACTCACTTGTGTGCCTGCACCTCAGCTAGACTCCCTCCCTTGTCTATTGAGCGAGATAAATCCTTCAGCTCATCCAGAGGTAAGGATCCAGACACACAAATTACTTATGCTCCCCAAGCTCCTGTTTCTCTCCCCGAGGATGAAAGCAGCCTGGACAGCTGGAGGCGCATAGCCAGGTGGAATGACCCCTACCCTGCTATATTTTTGAGGAACAATTGGGAAAGGAAGGACAAGAAATGACGGACATGCCTACTTTGAAACCAAGTCATCCAGCAGATATTCATACCACCCCAGTCTCCTGCAAGAATTGCCTTTTCCTCGGAGTCTGAGAAATACTTTAAGTCAAATAGCGATATTACACTTGGTTCCCAGCCTTTAAGAGAAACCGCCATTTTGAAGAGAAACAAAAGTTAGTACAAATCTTCAAAATTAAATTGAAAGCCGTCATTTTCTGCAGGAACTGCCGATTGCATTCAAGTTCTCACTGTCGCTGCCAATAATACCCAGACAGCTGAGTATTTTAAGATATTTGTTTTTCTGCAGAATTTTCTGACAAGCCCGTCTCTTGCTATCGTCACAGAACAATCTGTCTTTCCTGGACCAAGTTTAAAATAAAAGGACACCTACATCAGTTCATAAATTCGATTTACCTCTATAATAGCAGCATCGATGCTGGACTGCAGGGACAGGAAGCCTTTGTACCAATAGCTTGGGCTGTAACAGTACCGCGATGAGAAATTGTAACAGTTATCTGCAAGGATGAAAGGTTAAGGGCATCACAGGTAAAAGCAGTGAAACTTAATTGGTTTTCACCACAAAAGCTGATGGTAAGCATGCATATGCACTGTGGGAAACTCTTCAAATGGACAGTGGCCCACTGACAAAAAAAAAATAAAATTAACAATTTATTAAATCATTTAACATATATAGATTATTCCAACAAAGCGATGCCTATCCATGCCAGGCAATCACCCACCCATAAATTCTTATTTTGTATTACCTATGTATCCAAAGTTTTCATTTGGAA